TCTATCAGCAACAGCGCGCAGCGGTCATGTCTTCACCACATGGGAATACCTGAAGCTCTAGTCGGCTGGTGGGGTCTTGAGTGGTTCTCCTACCCGAGTAATTGCCTTGCAGACATTTCATCATTAAGTGAGGCAGCATCTTCAGTGCGTAATGGTAGATGACTTCACGGTAAACACTGAGCCTCGAGTAAATCCAGTCCACATCCGTCGCCGGACTTATTCGAGGTTCAGTATTTGTATTCGGGCTATTTACTACCACGCACTGAAGAGTAGTGGTGAAAAGTATGTATCAAGACTGCTCGGATCGGAGATCTAATGCATACCACATAAAGTTCAGTAACATCACCATAGGCGATACACAAAGAGCAAGTTGTGTTAGCGGATGAACCCCTTAAGGTAGCTTTGCCAGCCAGCAGTACTTTGCATTCTAAAGGGGCAAAAGCATATACCGAGGAGTGCAGCACCGTGTGCAAAGCTATCACACGAAAAATGTGCGGTAACTGAGCTGGAACCGGAAAGTACTATATAGTGGACGTAGATCAGTTTCCGCAACAGATCACCTCTTATGAGGTGCTCATCCATAACAAACGCCAAGGGTAGAATAGCTAAAATCATTTCGAACTAAAGTGCAAGGAGATATACGACTTTGCTGAACTAAGGAAACGGCTTTCCATAAGTCCACACACGGTTAGCTGGGCCACAAAACAGATTCAATGGTAGAAGGAAATTTTGCCGGTACGCAACCAAAATAGGCACCACAGATGATCAAGATCAACTGAATGAAAGATACTAAAAGCCAAGAATGACGACCATGATCAGTTGGCTGTGCACAAAATGATGTTCAGCAGGCTGGTGAGACGTAGATATGCGGTTATTACATTCACCACTAAGAATGTCTGGGAGGAAGTAAGAAGTTTCTGGAAAATCCATTACTTCAGTAGTTCATCTATTGTAATCGACTATCGCGTCGAGTTCCAACTTAATGGAATGTCCCAACATCTGCACGTGACTGTCATTCTTCTGAAGACTGGCTGGATCAGCGTGATACTGATAATTTTGGTAGTTCACCTAATTCTAGAAGTCGTGGGTCATGAGGCGACCTATAAATATGACCAAGATCTGCCACCTTTGTACAGTTCCAGTTAGACCGTGGTTAATACGTTATCTTGACTTTTTCCTTCGGTTGGGCTCGAGGTCGTGTGAAATAAATTTCGGAGTTGCAGCAAGTGATAAGATTTAACAAAGATGAAAAGGGACTTCGGTTTAACTTGTTCAGTTAACTCAGAGCATCACACGTGTTAAGAACGGATGAACAGGACACAAACACCCTGACGATTATCGCATGATGCCCATTGACCCGAATGAAAGACGGGAAAACCAAATGTAACCACCAGATATAGCAATGGGTAGAGAGAAACAGATATAGTTGATATACTGGGATGCAGGGGATAAGGCTAACAAAAAACAGCCGTCTTCCTCAGTGGACACCATGACAGCAGGCACGTCCTCGAAACGAAAACACACATGGATACCACATTCCGCGGGAAATCCAGTTATATGCACAGAATACAAGTGAATGTGTAGAAGTGCATCGGTTAATAAGGTTACTCTGCTGTAAGTTGAAAGGCGACAAATTAGTCGGGAGGCCGCCACTTGGTTGATATTTTAGACTGTTTTTCAAGAGAAGTAGTGGTTAAATCGTAGACATTTGTGTACGAGAGAAGTGTTTGGAGAGAGCGCGATGATTTCGTCATTCATTAGCAATCAAACCATTCGAATCGGATGTGAAGAAGGAAAGTAGAGTTCCTAAGGTGAGAGCGATGCTCCATTCCAACATCGTGAAAAACGCAGTGAGGCTTATTTTGATTTATTCCCCCCACTATACGTGGTACTTGTAAACCAAACTAAATGCAGTAGCTTGTGCCTTTAGCTGACGGGTGGTTGAGCGTAGGTGCGATTCTCAAGGACTACTTTACCGTGATTCAGTGGCATAAGTCGTTGGCTCGCAAGAGTAAGGTCACAGGTTCGAATCTGACAGGATTCGGCGGGTGCGCGCTACTAACGAGTCCCAATAGGACGAAACAGCTGTCTAGCGCCTTTCTGGATGTGTGGTGGACGTTCGCATGAGTCTAACTGCGATGAATATCCACAAAAATGGTTAATGTTCTTCCATTCCATTGGCGTGAATTTTTCGATAACTGGCTGAACACCAGAAGGGTCAACGCAGTGGTGGGTACCTTCCAATCTTGGAGAAGCATTTTGCGTTTCGAGAGAGCAAAAACAGCCCGAAACGACTGACAGCCAGTGTTAATTTGTCCAGCGCTGTCTGGCACGTTAGAGAGCTGTCACAAAAGGATCGACTGACGTTGTCCGCTTGGTTAAACATGGACTTGTGGACTGGACTGGAGCGCAGCCATGTGAGTACATGTGAGTAGGAACTATGCGACTACTAAAGCAACATGGAAAAGGGCGAAGGATTATCCGATGTAAAACGGGGATAAAAGTGAAATTGAAAGGGACGATGAAGACAAAAATGTGCAGGAAAGGGAGCAAGATGGGAAGGCTTGGGCAGTAGCATCCGTACCCATATCCACTCTAATCAATGCACTAGGTAGGGCGCCGCTAATTATAAGCTGCGACGGCCAGATCATCAAGAAATTGTTAGAAGAGAAATTCACTGTATTAGATGAGCAGAATACTGTCAAGTTCACAATCAAAGTTTTCGGTTCAAAAACCTGACCACAAAGCAGAGTTTGGCAGTGGGCTATAAGGAATCAATTTTAAGGAATAAGGAGCCATTCTCACTTCAACCTCCAACCTGGATGACTCTGGTCTTGCCTCTAACCACTGGCAAATCTGGTATCGGTGGATTTGAAGATGCAAAAAGCACCACCTAGCATAGCTCAATGGATCGCAGAAACACACAAACCATTGCATCACATTAAGGTCCAGACTCGTTATGATGCCGTTCGCTAGACACGACTTAAAAGGTGTGGAGCTGCTTCCTGGTAAGCAATTTCTTGACTTGTAGTATGCTAGTGGTACTGCCCCAAACGTATCAAGTTGCACTGGACAAATTAGCAACGGCTGTCAGTCGTCTTGGTTTATGCTTTGCATGCTCGAAATGAAAAGTCGTTCTCCAAGGTTGGCAGGGACCCATGCCTCCGCTGATTCTTGGTGTCGTTCAGAAACTTAGGCACCTGAAGAACAGAAACCGAAATCACGACCCGTATTGCAAAGCTCGAAGCGCATTTGTCAACTTTCCCCACATGTGGTTATGGCGCGACATTACTCTCACCCGGAAGGGCAGATGTTACTATGCAGCCGTCTGTTCAACTCATCCGTAAGGTCACCAGACACAAAGAGGTTTGTTACTTTTGACCATCAATGGTCTTCCAGCTTAGCACATGCCTGATGGAAACACCGGGTGAGCAATGAGCGTTAGACGTGGTGTATTTGGTGCAAGAAAAGCGAAGGAACCATTCAGCACCGTTATTTCACACAACAGGCTCCGATGACTGGGTCATGTGGGGCGCATGCCAGCACACGGACTCCTACATCGTGCGTCGATTGCACGCTAAGGGTATGGATGGAAGAGGAGGGGAGCCCAAGCGATGAGTTGTTCTAGAGGAATGAAATCCTTTACTTCGAACTTGACAGTTGGTGTTTTCCAACTGCCGGGCTGGGGTCCGAGGGACGATAAACACGCCTGGTTGAATACACGAGGTGACATGTCGAAGAGACAACCTCAATGACGTGTGTGTTGTGTTTCTCTGCTCCTCTCTCTCCCCTTTAGCTTTCGCTCCTGATAACGAGCTCACGCGCAATACATAATATGATATTTAGCATTATATTACTTGTCAGTTGTTAATGTTTGATAGTTGAAGACTTTGTATTGCGGCACACTAGCTGTGGTGTGTTTCTCACCCTCAGCTAACGTATATTGATGATGATGGCGGCTCTGGAGCATGGAAGTAGCGAGTACGCACACCAACGTGTTCCGGAGGCACTGAAGCAATCAGACTTAGCGCTTCAAATAAAACTGACTAAAGTGAAGTCAAGTACTGTGGATGACCATATAATCAAGATAAGATTGCCACCGCATAGAGTGTGAAGGCACGAGAAATATTGCATCACAGATAACGGAGCGATTAACGTGGCTCAGAATAAGGACCAGACAGATTCCATATGGCACAGTATACAACCTAATGATCATGGTTCACATTGTGGTGCTTTCTCTCGCTAAGATGAATAATTGGGGGGGGGAGCGTTTATGACCAAAACATGCGGCTCGAGTATGTAGAAACTAGCCAGAAGGGTGGATTGAGGGAACGACGCCACTTAGGCGCCGAAAAGCATCATTCACAAAACACTGGGCGCAGTGGGTGTTGAAAGTTTAGGTTAGCAGGAAAAATTCGAAAAGGTTAAATTGCGCGTTTCTGAACGAGGGCAACAAAATCAGCTTCAGCAGTGACTAGATAACCCATTTGAAAGGCGACAACCATGATACTAGGTCTCCTCATGCCCATAGATGCCTGCCTCTTTTCTAGCTGACAACTATAGTTTTCTCTCTCAGTTTTCCCCCTATATTTTGGTATCATTCTGCTCATTACATTTACATTTAGTTTCACGGGAGCGAAGACAGTAAATGAATTCACCTTAGTTTGTGTTGCAGCTGGTTGAGTAAAACGTAAGTTATCCAAACTAGATGGTATGGTAAGACCGGCTTTCTGTAGACTATCCAAGCCATAAAGTGTATCTGAACCTAGAGCGGCATCGCAACGTTTCATAGTGTACCATGACATGGGAAAGGATACGGCCAGGTTTCAAAAGCCAGAACGGAATTAAAATAGAGGCACAACATTTTTTAAATAGTCACGTAACTGCCGGTTGAATCTACTAACCACTCTAGGGAGTGCCAAAAAACTACTGCCACTAATATAAAGTAGCAATTGACTGAGTGGGACAATCGAAAGTGACTACATGCCAAAGAGACTCACTCTATCCGATGATTCGATACAAGTTTTGCCAGGTTCTTGATTGTGGACCCTTTTATAAGCCAGGCAAGGGATGGCGCTTACCGGGATTTGATGGTGCCTCACGCTCCCAGGCCCTACTGAGTAGGGGCGGGATACCGTCACGACACGAGTAGACCGATGGAAATATATGGTCAAACCAGATCCATGGCGTAATCGAATCCATCCTTCAGGAAGAAGTCCAAAATCAACAGAGTCGGTGGCGTCTACAAGAATGATGGGGCAACAACAGAGCATATGATGTCACGTTAATCAATAATTACACTGGGGGTTCGGTGAGCTAAAGGAAAAGACCACCACTCGTGGTGATATGACAATGACGAAATAAGAAAAAGTGAATATAAAGAAAAATCAATGGATATATATATTCCGTCGTTTGGGCGCGAGAATTCTAATCTGTTACACAAATATCCGTATGTTGCTGTTTGCTGACGACTGCGTTGTTTTCACACAGCGCGGATGAGTTGCAGCACATGACTAGTGCTCTGGTTTCGACAGCGGCAAAATTCGGGCTCACCATCAACACAAACAAAACTGTCTGTCTTTCAGCCTTCATCGGAGGCGCAATCTTCAATATTGCCGAGAATCAGCATTGGTGCTGAAGTATTAGAAACCACCTCCCACTTTCGCTACCTTTGGAGTGCGATGTCGACTGACCAGCAGATACACAGTGAGCTGCGTATCCGCGTGTCGAAGGCAGCGGCGGCATTCGGGAAGCTTGAGTACCGAGTGTGGAACAACCATCAGCTTACCATTGGCACGAAGACGTTGGTGTACAAATCCATGATGTTGTCCGTTCTTCTATACGGCAGTGAAACGTGGACGATGTACCGGCGGGATGTGCGATATCTCGAGCGATTCTATCAGCAGTGTTTGCGACGGATTTTGCTCATCGGTTGGGGCGACAGAGTTGCAGACACGGAAGTGTTGCGACAAAGTGGGATGTATACAGTGGACTGTATACTTTTGCTGAGACCCCTGAGGTGGCTCGGTCATGTGAGTCGAATGGATTCGACGAGGATACCGAAGCAGCTATTATATGGTCAGCTGAGTATTGGGAAGCGGCATGTGGGGAAACCAAAGTTACAATATCAGGACATGATTAAAGTGAGCCTCACACGTACTAATATTGATTGCAGATCATGGGAATCGAAGGCGGTTGATCGACGTGCATGGCGGGATCTGATCACGAAGGCGGTTGCCGAGGTGCAATAGAAAGCCCTCATGCATGCAGAGAAGAAACGGCAAGTGCGGAAGCGGCAAGCACCGATGGGTTGTTCTCCATCGACATCAAGCGCATGGTGCTGTAGAACATGCGGTCGCGAGTACCTTAGTCAGGCAGGCTTAGTGAGCCATGAGCGAGGCCACTCGAGACTACTACCGAAGCGACGACGGGTCCTGCAGAGAACGTAGGCAGAACGGGCGCAGCGTGTGTAGGTACGCTGCATTCGATTTACTAACCGCGTTGTTTACATATGAATCCGAGATAAGTTCAAGAGGTCGGAAAACATATTTTAAGGATATGCCAGAAATGCGCAATTGTTATCGGAATTCACTACAATTAGCTTAACTGAGTTGTGCAAATTTATAGAAGAGAGTACAGGTAGACATTTATATGACAAAGAAAAGCATTAGGACAAAATTGAAAACCCACCACCTGAAATAAAGAGACTTCGCATGCAAGCACACGGTTAGTAAATCGAATGCAGCGTACCTACACACGCTGCGCCAGTTCTGTCTGCATCTCTGCAGGACCCGTCGTCGCTTCGGTAGTGGTCCCGAGTGGCCCAGCTCATGGCTTACTACGCCTGCCTGACTCAGACACTCTCGACTGCATGTGCTACAGCATCATGCGCTAGATGTCGATGGAGAACAACCCATCGGTGCTTGCCGCTTCTTCTCTGCATGTATGAGGTCTTTCTGCCGCAATTCGGCAACCGCCTTCGTGATTAGATGGCGCAACGTACACCGATCAATCGCCTTCGATTCCCATGATCTGCAATCAATATTAGTACGTGTGAGGCTCACTTTAATCATGTCCTGATATCGTAACTTTGGTTTCCCCACATGCCGCTTCCCAATACTCAGCTGACCATATAATAGCTGCTTCGGTATCCTCGTCGAATCCATTCGACTCACATGACCGAGCCACCTTAGGGGTCTCAGCAAAAGTATACAGTCCACTGTATACATCCCACTTTGTCGCAACACTTCCGTGTCTGCAACTCTGTCGCCCCAACCGATGAGCAAAATCCGTCGCAAACACTGCTGATAGAATCGCTCGAGATATCGCACATCCCGCCGGTACATCGTCCACGTTTCACTGCCGTATAGAAGAACGGACAACATCATGGATTTGTACACCAACGTCTTCGTGCCAATGGTAAGCTGATGGTTGTTCCACACTCGGTACTCAAGCTTCCCGAATGCCGCCGCTGCCTTCGACACGCGGATACGCAGTTCACTGTGTATCTGCTGGTCAGTCGACATCGCACTCCAAAGGTAGCGAAAGTGGGAGGTGGTTTCTAATACTTCAGCACCAATGCTGATTCGCGGCAATATTGAAGGTTGCACTTCCGGTGAAGGCTGAAAGACAGACAGTTTTGTTTGTGTTGATGGTGAGCCCGAATTTTGCCGCTGTCGAAACCAGAGCACTAGTCATGTGCTGCAACTCATCCGCGCTGTGTGAAAACAACGCAGTCGTCAGCAAACAGCAACATACGGATATTTGTGTAGCAGATTAGAGTTCTCGCACCAAAACGACGGATGTTCAGCAACCCATCAATACGGCGCTGCACACGAACACCTTAAGCACAAGCCGCATGAAAAGCACCAGACATCATTGCATGAAGATATATAGTAAACAGGGCAGGAGTTAAGACACAGCCTTGCTTCACACCAGAGACAACTACAAAGTCATCCGAGGTCTCTCCACTCAGCTGCACCCTCACTCGCATACCACTGTGCAGACATTCAATTAAACTTACAAACTTACGCGGACAACCAAACTTACCCAACACCAACCACAATGCCTCGCGGTTCACCGTACCAAATGCCTTGGTGAAATCAACAAAAAGCGAGTACAACGGCTGGTCTCGTTCTCTGCATTTCTCCTGCAACTGACGGACCGAAAAACACCATATCTATAGTGCTGCGACCCGAGCGGAATCCACACTGCTCTTTCGCCACGTTAGGTTCCACAACCTGACTGACGAGGCGGTTGAGCAGGATTCGGGCAATCACCTTGCCCACACAACTCAGCAAGTTGATACCACGATAAATCGTGGCACATTGCTTGCTTCCTTTTGCCTTGTATAGTAGTAGCAAAGAGCATCCTTCAGCTCAGGAGGCACCTCCTCCTCAATCCATACGCGTTGCACCAAGTGGTGCAGCGCAGTCAACAACGCAGATCCGCCGTGTTTCAATACTTCAGGCGGGAGCTTGCCAAGCCAAGCACGTTTGCCGTTTCGCAGCTGCGTCTCATCCAGTGTCGACGTGTCCGCCAGACTCGTCTGTACATCGTGCTGCTTGAGGCCGTTCAATGTAGGCCAGTCAATCTCTGAACGGTTGTTCAAGAGACAGTCTAAGTGTTTCCGCCAGATCTGCATTATGTCTGCAGTCTGTGTGCAGGTAGCGCTTGAACTACCATCGATCAGCGTCCGCAGTGGCTCCAATCTCAGTCCATACACCGTCTTCAAGGACTCAAAGAATTCCTTGTGTTGGCGGCGTTCGGCGTAGCATTCCATCTGCTTCGCCTTCTCCGTCCACCATGCATTTTTAATGCGACGGAGCTCTCGAGTCAGTCACCGTCGAAGCATGCGGAACTGACTATTCTTCTCCAAGTCACTGGGGTCTGCCACATATACAGCAAATGCTGCATACTTCCCCGACACCAATGCGCCAATCGTCGCATTGTTGTCATCAAGCCAATCAGGCCGCTTACAGTTTGCGCTCCCGATTGTCTCCTCGGCAGCAACTGTCACCTGGTCGTGAATATGGTGCTACAGGTCGCCAACTGTGGTTATGCAGTCCACATCACATAGGCGTGCAGCCATCGCCTTCTCCAGAGCAATACGTTTCTCCACAGTACCGGAGGAGAGAAGGTTATATTTACGCTGATTCATAGCGGGAGTGCAATAAATAGATCTACGAAAATATATGTACAGTTTGGTTCGTACCAATTTGTGATCAGTACCACACTCAGCTCCACACAGGACGCGTGTCATGCGCACTTCACGCATATCACGCTGACGTACGAGGACATAGTCGAGCAGGTGAGCGCGACCACTCCGTGGGTGCGTCCAAGTTGCTATATCACTCGCACTCAGTGCAAACCGAGTGTTCGTGATCGTCAGGCCATAAGTGGCACACAGTGAGAGCAGCCTGTCACCGTTCGCATTCGCTGAACCAATGACATGCGCACCGATAACATCTGTCTACACCGATGCAGCCCGCCCAACGCGCGAGTTGAAATCACCCAGCAGAATTAGTTTGTCGCTCCTCGGCACAGACCGTATCACGGAGAATAGCTGAGTATAGAATTAATCACGCGTGTCATCAGGATAACACATGGTCGGACCGTGGCAAATTTACCACTCTTGAGTCGTAGACGAACAGTCATCAGTCCCGCGCTGATGCCAGTTGGTTCACCCACCAGCTGGCCATGGAGGCGATCGGATATTGCAAATCCGACCCCATGATCACGTGGTGCTGAGGCGGCGTTGCCCACCCAGTAGAATGTGCAGCCAGCACCTGCTTCATGCAACTCACCTTGCTCAGCGAGCCGGGTTTCACTGAGCGCCGCAATATCGATGTGGTAAGGCTCCAGCTCCATCGCGACCAGTGCAGTGCGTCGCTCGGGGCACTCACTGGAGTTTCGGTCCAGTAGTGTCCGCACGTTCCAGCACCCGATGCTGAGTACTTAGCGAGCAAGCATACGATTGCATTGACGGGTATTCGCACGCAAGGTGGTCGTTGTGCTTCGGAGGTTTCCTCGAGGGACTCCGCCCGAAGTCTTTGGATCAACAGCCTGACCCACAAGTCAGTGGATGGTTTGAAGGTTTGTTTGAGGGATTCCGCCCTTTGGCTCAATAACCTGGCCCACAAGGCAGTGGGGAACAGATCCGGCTCGAGAAGGTGATTGCAGAGACAGAATGGGATCTGCTTGACGGCTGTCACACGCAGCCTTTGAGGTACTGGAAAGATT